TATACTAAGGGTACAGATCATCCTCTCCTTGATCATCAGGTTGAGGACAGTGGGAGAAGGGGAAGACATGTGGAGATGTTGGTACCTGAGGGGAGAACCTTGGTTCAGTAAAGACAAAAAAGTTAGTAAGATAATTAGATAAACCTAGCTGAAGGAGTTTGGGCAAATTGTGTAACTTCTCTTAACCTCAATTTTATTATCAGTAAAACTGTGCCAACCTCATAGTTTAGTATAAGGATTAGAAAGAATATATGTAAAGCATTTAGAACAATGCCTGCAATATGAATAAGCACTATAATATTCAAACTATTCCCATTAAAATAGAGAAATAATAGGCCTCACAGTATCCACTGAGATTTGGGTTCTAGTAGGAGTGAACTGGAAACTTTGAAATCAAATTATTTATATAATATAATACCAAGTTTTTTTTTTTTTTTTTTGATAGCAAGTCTTGCTCTGTTGCCCAGACTGGAGTGCAGTGGCTCGATCTTGGCTCACTGCAGCCTCCACCTCCCAGACTGAAGTGATTCTCCTGCCTCAGCCTCCTGAGTAACTGGGATTACAGGCACGTTCTACCACACCTGGCTAATTTTTTGTATTTTTAGTAGAGACAGGGTTTCACCATGTTAGCCAGGATGGTCTTGATCTCCTGATCTCGTGATCCGCCTGCCTCGGCCTCCCAAAGTGCTGGGATTACAGGTGTGAGCCACTGTGCCTGGCCCTCCAATGTGTATTTTTTAATCTGTTAATTGATCTTTTCTTTTTATGCCTCTGGATTTTTAGTTTTAGCAATCCTATCTTCATATCAATATTAAGTAATTTGCCTGCATTTTCTTCTAATATTTCTGTGGTTTCATTTTTTTTACATATAGATTTATGGTCTATTTGAAATTTACTTTTGTATAAAATGTCAGGTGTAGATCAACTTTTATATTTTTTTCCAAAAGGCCATCTGGTTATTTCACCACCATTTAGTCTGTCTTTTTCCCACTGCTTTGAATTCCTACCTTTATCACTGAAGTTTTTTTTGTGCCTAGATCTGTTTCTAGCTGTTTATTCTGTTCCATTGGTCTTTTTTTTTAAATGTACAAATAACATGATTTTTAAATTAGAGGTTTTTTTGTTTGTTTGTTTGTTTGTTTGTTGAGACAGAGTCTTGCTTTGTCATCCAAGCTAGAGTGCAGTGGCGCGATCTTGGGTTGTTGCAACCTCTGCTTTTCAGGTTCATGCAGTTCTCCTGCCTCAGCCTCCCAGGTAGCGAGGATTACAGGCCTGTGCCACCGTGCCTGGCTAATGGTTTTTTTGCATTTTTAGTAGTGACAGGGTTTCACCATATCGGCTAGGTTGGTCTCAAACTCCTGATCTCAGGTGATCCACCTGCCTTGGCCTCCCAAAGTGTTGGGATTACAGGGGTGAGCCACCGTGCCCAGCCTTAATTAGAGGTTTTGTTGGTGTTTCAATATGTGGTGGGGCTGTTCCCCTCTCATTCCTCTTCTTTTTCAGGGTTAAACTCAACTTGCCTAGCTCCAGAAAAAAACTGCTTTGTTTTTTAGTGGAATTGCACTATGTTTATCAATTTACTTAGGAATAATTGAATCTTTGTGATGAGTTAGGCTGTTGAAGTTTGAAGTATTATTTTGTGTCTTTCAGCTGTATTTAAAACCTTTCCTCATATAGATTTTTTACATTTCAGGCTAAATTGATTCCTAAATTATTCTATCTTTTTTATTATGGAATTCTAAATGGAGTTTTCTCTTCCGTTATCTTCTTTTTTGTTTATCTGTATATATTAAGGATATTGATATTTTAAATTGTAAAATATACATGACATATAATTTACCATTTTGATCCTTTTAAAGTATATAGTTCAGTGGCATTAAGTATGTTCACAGTATTGCACAACCATCACCACTATTTAGCTCCTGAACTTTTCATCACTCCGAACAGAAACCCTGAACCCGTTAAGCAGTCACTCCTTGTTCCTTCTTCTCCTCAGCCCCTGGTGACCAAAAATGTATTTTCTGTGTCTACAAATTTTCCTAGTCTCTGTATTTTATATAAATGGAGTCATACAAATGTGGCCTTTTGTGTCTGGTTTCTTTCTTTTAGCATAATTTTTCAATTTTTGTTGTACCATGTATTAGTTCTCCATTCCTTTTTAAGGCTGAATAATATTCTGTTGTGTGGATATACCACATTTTGTTGATTCATTCATCCCCTGTTAGGCATTTCTGTTTTTTCCTACCTTTTGGCTATTGTGAATAATGTTGCTGTGAACAAAAAGCTGTTGATTTTTTTTTTGTGTTAATTTCATATATTTTAACCTTATTGACTTTTTTTTTGTTTGAATTCTGTCATTGGATCTTTTGGTATTTCTAGATTTATGATCACATGTTCTACAAGTAGAGATAGTTTTACTTCTTCTTTGCCAGTTCTTATGTCTCTACTTGCTTTTTGTTGCATAGTTGCACTGGCTAATAACACACCAAATACAATGTTAAATACTACTGGAGATAGTGGGTATTCTTGCCTTGCTCTGCAACTTGGTAAGAATGCTTTAGGTTTTTCTCCATTATTAAGATACTGACTTTAGGATACAGTGTCTCTATCTCTACCTGTATCTACGCGCACAATTTTTCTTGTAATTTTGTGTGTAATTTTTGTTGAAAACACTTCTGCCTGAGACACTGAGGTTCACTTTTATTTTCACTTACCCAAGTGTTGCTAGTTTGCCTCTTATATTTTCTAGGTTTTCTGTAACTTTCTTTTTTTCCTCTAATTAAACAGATGAAATTGATTTTGAAGAGAATATGGAATTAACCTTTGTGATTTTCATTTGTTCCCCTCATCCTACTCCCAACTGCTGCAACTCTGCTGCTACCCCTGGCCATCTTTATTATGTTTCTAATTCTCACATCCCTTTACTAACAATAGGGCAGTTCCAGGATTTTATGGCTTCTCATACCTCTCCAGATAAAGTTAAGTTTCTTAGTGTAGCACATTAGGTACTCAGTCCTCTGTTACCTGTGTACTTTCCAAATTTCCATCATTTCTCTCAGTTCTTCAGGTACTCTGAATTATTTCCATCCTTAGAGCATACTATGCTATTTTCTGGCTCTTTCTTTTTCACATGCAAGTCTTCCTGCTTTAATCTAGCTACAAGCCAAGTGTCAAGTTTTATTTTTCCTTAAAGTGTGCCTGCTTTAAGAGGGTTGTCGCACATCCTCTTGCAAGCAGTCTGCATAGCTACTGCTTCTCAGAGTTTCTTGCTCCTTTTAGCACTCCCTGTGGGACACCACTTGCTTTACTAGTGGTCTTTGTGTGGAGTTCTGGGACATAGTCCCATTGATAAAATATGACTGCCAAAGTTTGTTTTAGTGCCCTTTTGTATTCCTCTGGCAACCTGGAATGTCTCTATCATAGCATTATACCACACTAGCTGATTTACTTGTCCCTTTTCCGAGTACGTGTAATTTAGTAACTAATCAATGCAATTTTTTTTTTTTTTTTTTTTTTTAAATGGAGACAGGGTCTTGCACTGTCACCTAGGCTGGTCTCAAATTCCTGGACTAAAGAGATCCTCCCACCTTTACCCGCTTGAGTAGCAAGAACTATACACATACCACCGCACTTGGCTGATATTTTTTAATTTTTTGGTAGAGACAGGGTCTTACTCTGTTGCCCAGGTTGGTCCCAAACTCCTGCCCTCAAGCGATCCTCTCACTTTGGCCTCCAAAAGTGCTGGGATTATAGGTGTGAGCCCTTATGCCTGGCCCCAATAAATGTTTTTTGAATAATAAGTGAATAGTAAAGCAAATTGGGATCTGTTATCTTCGTCTTCTTTCTTCTTTCTTCTTTTCTTTTGTCTTTCTTCTTCCTTTTTTAATTTTTAATTTTATTTTATTATTATTTTTTTTGACAGAGTCTTGCCCTGTTATCTAGCTGGAGTACAGTGGCATGATCATGGCTCACTGCAGCCTGAACCTCCTGGATTCAATTGATTCTCTGGCCTCAGCCTCCCAAGTAGCTGTAACTATAGGTGTGCACTACCATTCCTGTCTAATTTTTAAAAAATATTTATTTGTGAGATGGGGTCTTGCTATGTTGCCCAGGATGGTCTCAAACTCCTGAGCTCAAGCAGCCCTCTCGCCTCAGCCTCCCAAACACGGGGATTACAGGCGTGAGCCATTGTGCCTTGCCCTTCTTGATTTTACTCTGTCTTTCAAGATTCCTTACTGATTAGATCAAGATTTCATAGAGAGAGCCAGTTTATTTTCTAGTGATTAATTGTGGTTCCTACAGTTAAATTTCTTTTTATTTAAAATTAAGTTTTAGATTGTAAGCACCTTGATTAGGCAAAAAGGAGCAGAGGGCTGCTGAGGCCCAGGTCACAATTAGTATTTCCTGTCACCACTGGAGATGCGCTGCGTACAGCTTTCTGTCATGAGGAGGTAAGACAGAAACTGAAATAAGTGAGTATCCCTGAGAGACAGTGCCTTCTCATGCAGTAAATGGTAGACCGTGCTATTCGTTATATCATTGACTGAACCGGTTGTTTATTTTGGTAAAAAGTAAAGTCTTTTTTACATCTAGGAACCCCTCTATTGACAGTGTCATTTCTGTTTAAAAGTAGGAATGAAGAATTAGTGAGGAGTGGAGGAAGAGAAATTATACAGAGAAAGCATATTTTTCTTTTCTAAATTTGTGTATTTATGTGTAAGTCTATAGGAAATTCATGAAACACTCTGAAATTTATGTGTTCTGCTTTACGTAAAGCTTCTATGTGAGAGGATTTAAAAATCAATGTGCACATTCAGATCTAAGCTGTTTGGCTCACTGTTGCTCTATCTATCTTATTTAATATTTTGGCTGTTTTAGCACATGTATCTTTTGAAGAGGAAGAAGTGGTTGTCAGCAAAAGTTTGTTTTCTTTGCGTAAAGGGAAATTAATAAAATGCCTCTGTTTCATGATCAAATATATTGTTTGACCTCTTCCATAGAAATTTCAAGAAATTGCTGAAAAAAATATGGAAAAATTGAACCATATTGAGAAGTCGCATGAACAGTTGGTTCTCGAAAATTCTCACTTCAAAAAACTGTTATCACAGACTCAAAGGGAACAGACATCCTTGCTGGCAGCCTGTGCATTGATGACTGGTGCCTTATATCCCCTCTATAGCCGATCATGCGCCTTGTCTACACAGAGAGATTTTCTCCAGGAGCAGGTCAACACCTTTGAGTTGTTCAAATTGGAAATTAGAACTCTAGCCCAGGCTTTGTCAACTGTAGAGGAAAAGAAGCAAGAGGAAGCCAAGATGAAAAAGAAAACATTCAAAGGATTGATACGTATATTTCGGAAAGTTGTTATTGCAATTTTGGCAGCAAACAGACTCAAGGTTTTGGGCCAATCATGTGCCTCTCTTTTTACCTGGATGGAGAGTTTCAAAGAAGGCATAGGCATGTTAGTGTGCACAGGAGAGCCCAAAGACAAGCATAAATTTCCAAGTAAGATAATTTGTGCTTTTAAAAATATAGGTTGCATGTAAGTGAAATATACAGTGTGACTATACCTGGCTATTATGGAAAAACTTTAAAAAAACATGTAATATGCCAAATAATATAACATAGTCTCCATATGTATGTATATGTGTGTATGGATAAGTGAATATTTTGTATAAATTAGGCTGTGTTTTTTTGTTTTAAGCAGATTAGAATATAAGGTGACAAATATGTATAATTTGAACTTTGTCTTGTTTTATATTTGAATCCTCTGCAGTAAAGCAAAGAGTTTACACAGTGATTTTTCGGTTGTGTCCATCAAAAACTGCCCTGTTTCAAATTATCAGTATGATTTATTTTCAGTTTCTATGAATAAGTATGAAATGGGTTAAAAATATATTGAAGAATTATATGAAAATGAGACAAATATAAATTTTCCAGTTGTTTTTGAATGCTTAACTATTTTGAAGAAATGACTTGTTTTTATTTTTAAAAAGCAGACTATTAAGTAGTGTAAGTAAAACCAAAGAAAATTTCTTTTTTCTGTTTTTTTGGTGTCATTTACAGTTATTTGTAAATTAGGTCGAGCTAATCTAACATTTCTTAATAGATTTTTGCACAGTAGGCAATGTTCACAATAGGGTTTGATCTGTTTCTTAAATAGCTGAACACTGCTATGAATTTTAAATATAGATTTTAATAAAGTTTTGTAGAATTTTACAATGGATTTTTTCAATTTTATAGAACATCAAAAGGAGCAGTTGCGTTGTTTACAAGCGCTTAATTGGCTCACCAGTTCTGACCTTCTTGCTGCAATAATCAGTTCTATGACTGAATTACAAGATGTCATTGGTAAAACAGGTATGGTTCCTTCTTTTATGTCCTTGCAAAATACATTTAAGAACAAATGTCCAGAAATTCTTTATGGCACAAATTCTAATAAACCGTATAGGGAGAAAATAAATTTATTTTTATCTTTATTTTATTCAGTCATGGAGAGATTAATTCTGTACTTAATGATGTAAATTAATATAAATTTTGTCTTTATGGGGAAATGACTTTTCTTGGTGAATGTATCCAACTTATTATTTTTTCTTTCTATCTGTTTTTCCTATGGAAAGCTCATCATTAGCTTTTTATTAAGTAATACTGGCAATGTTCTTTCATATGTTTTGGCCTTGTTTCACTTCTACTTGTGGCTGTAAATTTCATAAGCTTGAGTAATATGAGAGCCAGTAGAAAATTTTTCTCTCTCTTTTTGTGATTTTTTTTTACTTTTTCTAGTGTATTTTAGATACAATTAATTCGGATAGTCTGCTCCTTCCCACCTGGTGTGGAACCACCTATTATCAGCGATTTACAAAGGTTTAAAATGCAAGTTTTTAAAAATGATTCAGATTGCATGATATTTTGTCTGACAGGTTCAATGAAAACTAATTGGACTAATTATGGTCATTTCAGACACATTAGTTGTTAAAATTGTGTAATGGACTTGTTAAGGTTTGCCTGTTTAATGAAATGTAAGCCTGGATGTAATGATAATTTGGGATTTAATTCTTAGACATTTCCACTGTGCAAATATAGATCATACATTGTGATTTCAAATATCTAAACCTAGACTTTTGTAGTAGGAAACTTAAAGATTATTTTTAAGTTGTGGCCATTGATGTTGGTAAGCAATGTGCATATTTAATGTGTTGGCAGAACCTCAAGATACTGGGTTTGGAGTCTGAAATAAAATTCTAAACTAAATGTATTTTAAGAATTTTGGTATTATAACTTCAAAGCAGAACTGGACATTCTTGAAAGAGCTTAGAAATAGTTTTTAGATTTGGTTTAAGAAACAGGTGATTTGAGTGCTTCCAAGATGGCCAAATAGGAAGAGCTCCAGTATGCAACTCTAGCAAGATCTATGCAGAAGATGGGTGATTTCTGGGTTTCCAACTGAGGTACTTTGTTCATCTCATTCAGACTGGTTGGACAGTGGGTACAGCCCACGGAGGGTGAGCTGAAGCAGGGCGGGGCATCACCTCACCCGGGAAGTGCAAGGGGTCGGGGGATTTCCCTTTCCTAGCCAAGGGAAGCTGTGAGAGACTGTACTGGCAGGAACGGTACAATTCCGCTCAAATACTCCGCTTTTTCCACAATCTTCACAACTGGCAGGCCAGGAGATTCTCTCCAGTGCCTGGCTTGGTGGGTCCCATGCCCACGGAGCCCAGCATTCTAAGTAAGATCCATTGACTTGAAATCCTTGCTGCTAGCGCAGCAGTCTGTGAATGACCTGGGATGCTGGAGCTTGGTGGGAGGAGGGGCGTCCACCATTGCTGAGGCTTGAGTAGGTGGTTTTATGCTCACAGTGTAAACAAAGCTGCCAGGAAGCGTGAACTGGGCGGAGCCCACCGCAGCTCACCAAGACTGACTGCCTCTGTAGATTCCAGCTCTGTGGACATGGCATATCTGATCAAAAGGCAGCAGCCCTAGTCAGGGACTTATAGATAAAACCGTCATTTTCCTGGGACAAAGCCCCTGGGGGAAGGGGCAGCTGTGGGCACAGCTTCTGCAGACTTAAACGTCGCTGCCTGACAGCTCTGAAGAGAGCAGTGGTTCTCCCAGCACATTTGAGCTCTAATAATGGGCAGACTGCCTCCTTAAGTGGGTCCATGACCACCGCGTAGCCTGACTGGGAGACAACCTCCCAGTAGGAGCCGATGGACAACTCTTACAGGAGAACTCTGGCTGGCATCTGGCAGGTGCCCCTCTGGGACGATGCTTACAGAGGAAGGATAAGGCAGGAATTCTTGCTGTTTTATAGCCTCCACTGCTGATACCCAGGCAGACAGGGTCTGGACTGGACGTCTGGCAAACTCTACCAGATCTGAGATTGAGGTGCCCATTAGAAGGAAAATTAACAAACAGAAAGGAATAGCTTCAACATCAACAAAAAGGACATCCACACCAAAACCCCATCCATAAGTCACCAACATCAAAGACCAAAGGTAGAGAAAACCACAAAGATGGAGAGAAACCAGAGCAGAAAGGCTGAAAATTCCCAAAACCAGAACACCTCTTCTCCTTCAAAAGATCACAACTCCTCGCCAGCAGGGGAACAAAATTGGATGGAGAATGACTTTGATGAGTTGACAGATGTAGGGTTCAGAAGATGAGTAATAACAAACTTCTTCGAGCTAAAGGAGAATGTTCTAACCCATTGCAAGGAAGCTAAAAATCTTGAAAAAAGGTTAAAGGAGTGCTAACTAGAATAACCAGTGTAGAGAAGAACATAAATGACCTGATGCAGTTGAAAAACACAGCATAAGAAATTCATGAAGCATACACAAGCTTCAATAGCCAATTCGATCAAGCGGAAGAAAGGATATCCATGATTGAAGATCAAATTAATGAAATAAAATGAGAAGACAAGATTAGAGAAAAAAGAGTAAAACAAATGAACAAAGCCTCCAAGAAATATGGGACTATGTGAAAAGACCAAATCTACGTTTGATTGGTGTACCTGAAAGTGATGAGGAGAGTGGAACGAACTTAGAAAACACTCTTTAGGATATTATCCAGGAGAACTTCCCCAACCTAGCAAGGCAGACCAACATTCAAATTCAGGAAGTACAGAGAACACCACAAAGATATTCCTTGAGAAGAGCAACCCCAAGACACATAATCGTCAGATTCACCAATGTTGAAGTAAAGGAAAAAATGTTAAGGGCAGCCAGAGAGAAAGGTTGGGTTACCCACAAAGGGAAGCCAATCAGACTAACACCGGATTTCTTGGCAGAAACCGTACAGCCAGAAGAGAGTGGGAGGCCAATGTTCAACATTCTTAAAGAAAAGAATTTTCAAATCAGAATTTCATATCCAGCCAAACTAAGCTTCTTAAATGAAGGAGAAATAAAATCCTTTACAGACATGCAAATACTGAGAGATTTTGTCACCAACAGGCCTGCCTTACAAGAGCTCCTGAAGGAAGCACTAAACATGGAAAAGAAGAACAGGTACCAGCCACTGCAAAAACATGCCAAATTGTAAAGACCATCGATGCTATGAAGCAAATGCATCAACTAACGGGCAAAATAACCAGTTAGCGTCATAATGACAGGATCAAATTCACACATAACAATATTAACCTTAAACGTAAATGGGCTAAATGCCCCAAGTAAAAGACATAGACTGGCAAATTGGATAAAGAGTTAAGACCCATTGGTATGCTGTATTCAGGAGAACCATCTCATATGCAAAGACGCAGATAGGCTCAAAATAAAGGGATGGAGGAAGATCTACCAAGCAAATGGCAATCAAAAAAAGGCAGGGGTTGCTATTCTAGTCTCGGATAAAACAGACATTAAAGCAACAAAGATCAAAAGAGACAAAGAAGGCCATTGCATAATGGTAAAGGGATCAATTCAACAAGAGCTAACTATCCTAAATATATATGCACCCAATACAGGAGCACCCAGATTCATAAAGCAAGTCCTTAGAGACCTACAAAGAGACTTAGACTCCCACACAATAATAATAGGAGACTTTAACACTCCACTGTCAATATTAGACAGATCGAGACAGAAAATTAACAGGGATATCCAGGACTTGAACTCAGCTCTGGACCAAGCAGACCTAATAGACATCTACAGAACTCTCCAGCTCAAATCAACAGAATATATTCTTCTCAGCACTGCATCACACTTATTCTAAAATTGACCACATAATTGGAAATAAAACACTCCTCAGCAACTGTAAAAGAACAGAAATCACAACAAACTGTCTCTCAAACCACAGTGCAATCAAATTAGAACTCAGGATTAAGAAACTCACTCAAAGCCGGGTGCGGTGGCTCAAGCCTGTAACCCCAGCACTTTGGGAGGCCGAGATGGGCGGATCATGAGGTCAGGAGATCAAGACCATCCTGGCGAACACGGTGAAACCCCGTCTCTACTAAATGCAAAAAACTAGCCAGGCGAGGTGGCGGGCACCTATAGTCCCAGCTACTCGGGAGGCTGAGTCAGAAGAATGGCGTAAACCCGGGAGGTGGAGCTTGCAGTGAGCTGAGATCTGGCCACTGCACTCCAGCCTGGGCGACGGAGCAAGACTCCGTCTCAAAAAAAAAAAAAAAAGAAACTCACTCAAAATCGCACAACTACATGGAAACTGAACAACCGGCTCCTGAATGACTACTGGGTAAATAACAAAATGAAGGCAGAAATAAAGATGTTCTTGGAAACCAATGAGAACAAAGACATAGCGTACCAGAATCTGTGGGACACATTTAAGGAAGTAAGTAGAGGGAAATTTATAGCACTAAACACCCACAAGAGAAAGCAGGAAAGATCAAAATCAGTGCCCTAACATCACAATTAAAAGAACTAGAGAAGCAAGAGCAAACAAATTCAAAAGCTAGCAGAAGGCAAGAAATAACTAAGATCAGAGCAGAACTGAAGGAGATAGAGACACAAAAAAAATCCTTCAAAAAATCAATGAATCCAGGAGCTGGTTTTTTGAAAAGATCAACAAAATAGACCACTAGCAAGACTAATAAGGAAGAAAAGAGAGAAGAATCAAATAGATGCAATAAAAAATGATAAAGGGAATATCACCACTGATCCCACACAAATACAAACTACCGTTGGATAATACTATAAACACCTCTACAAAAATAAATTAGAAAATCTAGAACAAATGGATACATTCCTGGACACATACACCCTCCCAAGACTAAACCAGGAAGAAGGTGAATCTCTGAATAGATCAATAACAGGTTCTGAAATTGAGGCAATAATTAATAGCCTACCAACTGAAAAAAGCCCGGGACCAGATGGATTCACAACTGAATTCTACTAGATGTACAAAGAAGAGCT